TTTTTTTGAGTTATGACACTATTGAAGTAAATGAGCTATATGTATTTACCTAAATATCATTTAAGCTTCAGCACATGTAGCTTGCTTTACTTCTGTGATACAAAATAGTAACTCCTGTTGGTTTTTTTGTTACCCTTTTGCACTACACACAGATTGGGCCCACTCTATTTAATTGTCAACTGCATAACCGACACCGGAAGTCTTATGATAGACGATCTATCAGTTTACCATTTTAGTTATCGAGCGTACGAGAAATGCGAATTGTATTGGTGGCGAAATGCACTCTTCATACAAAATCTCTTCACTCACGAGGATATGTGCATGTTTTGGACCTGGTCTTCGGCATGTGATATGCAATTTTATTTAATTAGCACAATTTTGCTCTTCGTTTATGTGAAGTAAGTATGCAGTGTGATAGCTAAATATGTGTGTACATGCATGAACGTATCATGCATTAAACCGCCTTCCTTTTCTCCTCTCTCTCTGTCTCTCTGCAGGCAACCGAAAGCGGCGCGAGTTCTTACGCTATTCCTTGTACCAGCAAATTTGGCGTACACCTTCTACATCGGCCTGACCATGAATTTTCAATATTCATTGGAAACCACCTTAACACTCTTCACCGAGCTCTACATGCATCCGCTGTCACGCGTCTTCGCTTACATAATTGGCGGTGTAGCTGGCTGGTATTTCGTACAAAATCAAAAGCATCAACTCTATGCGGGTTTCTTTCAGAATCAATCGTTGCAAGAGTTTCTCGGTTATTTGGCGATTATCGTATTCTTCACTTGCAATTTTACAATCTTCGCTTCGGGGTATTCGAATTTTTATTACGTTTCGGTGTTGGTGTTGCACCGTTTGCTGTTTTCAGCGAGTGTTTGTTGTTTGATATTTGCAAAAGCTGCGGGTTGCGTAAAGTGGTTCTTTGCCATTTTGGAGAATCCAATTTTCAAGAAATTCAATCAAATCACCTATGCTTTGTTCCTAATGAATCCAATCGGTATTCAAGTGGTGGCGGCATTTGGCAATGCAAGTGTCCCCTCTACACCGCTTAGATTGGTGAGTTGATGATGCAAACAAACATATATATGTATTTTTTTTGTTCTATTTAAAAATGTTCTTGTTTCGTGTTATGTTGTTTTTCCTATATTTCAGTCAATGGATTATATTGCCTACTGTGCTATTCTCTACTTTATTTGCACGATTTTAACCCTGTTATTCGAGTTGCCCTACAAAAGTATATCAAGACTGATGCTGCAGCACGCCAAAGAGAAGCTTAACTAAAAGAATGTAAAGGTTTCCTCTGTCAAGGATTAAAGTTAAAAATTCAACAATGAATATGAATTATATTTGATTATAAAATTTATTATATTTTAAAACTTTCACCAAAATAGTTTGGAAAAATATTAAGATTTACGTGAGCTGGACCGATTTTAAAATACTTCCAAAAGTGGATTTTTTAATGAATAAAAATAGTTTCTTAAAGGATTTTTTTGAAAAAACTTTCCTTAGATGACAAAACAGATTAGGCTTAAAAATCTGAATAAAAATATTTAAAAAAAAATGTCAACGGAATCATAATACTGTACAGCACTCGGCGGGGTAATGGACCAAACCAACTTTTTTAAAAAAAAGTAAGTTCTCCGTTTTTCCTCCGAAATCGAGATATGGGCCTTCGAAGTCCGAAATCGGACCTTTAATGGTCCGCGTTTTTCTCTTATTTATATGGTATGTAACTTTTTTTGAGAAAACTTATATTCCAGGTGCTATAACGGGTCAAAGGTCAGATCTTCGAAAAATTAAAAACTTAATATTTCAGAAAATTTTGAACTGATTTTTAAAAAATTCATATCGTTGTAAAAGTGATTTAACCCCCTTTCTTGTGATATGCATATTTATATACTTCGTTTACAAAAATTTGAGACAGAACACATTTAAAGGAAAAAATAGCTTTTTTGTATAAAAAAATATATTAAACAAAAAAATTACTAACCGATTTTAAAAAAATTAGTATCGTTATAAATTCTTGTGATATGCACATTTGTATACCACGTGAATAAAAATTTTTATAAAAACACTTAAAAGAAAAAAAACTTTTTTTTATCGAAAAATATTTTAAACAAAAAAATTACTCACTTACTTCTACCACTTACTTTTTTCAAAAAATACTTAAAAAAAACTAATTTTTGGATGTTTTTTTTCAAATCGGTTCAGCTCACGTAAATTTTAAGATTTTGGTTAAAGTCTTAAAATATAATAGATTTTATAATTATATATTTATAATTTTTTTTGTATAGGGAGTAATGCCGTCTAATATACATATTTATGAGAGTTGATGTAGAGTTTTATAAAGAAATAAATTAATCGCTTGAGATCAGTACAGCTCACAGACTTGTACGGCTTTTTTCCCCATTTCACGAGTGCAATCAGCTGTACTATGTTAAAGGCTAAGTATCTAGTAGTTTGTACTGTTTTTGATTCTAAATTAACTTCGAGTTATCGGTTTTTTTAGCGGAGAAAAAAGTAGACATTACGAATGAACATAAAAAAGAGAGATTATGATGACATTTGGTAAGAATTATTCTGGCAATAATTTGCGAGGGACTCGGTTGCGAAAATGTATGTAATTAATTAATTTTTAAAGAAAACTGGAATAAGTGTTTCTATCTATTACAGTACATTTATGACATGGTTTTTAAATTTAGGTCAAAAACCTCGACTAAGTTGCTATATCGCCCAAACATCGCACGCGGCTTTTTTAAAGGCAGTAAGGAGGATAATTGCAGAGCTTTGAGAATGAGTTAAACTTGGCCGGACTATTATCGAAGTGTGTGCCTGAGTGGAAGAAGATGAGACTGATAAATTGCTATTGAAAATAAATATGTATGAATATTAAAATTCGAAAAACACATTACACGTATGGTGCGATCAAAAAAAAAAATACGTACGTGCGACACTAGGCGGCTCAAAATCTGTAAGCCAGTAAAGCGACCTTGGGCCTAATGCAAAGCTAAAGTCTTCGGCAGCGGAGAAGGGAATCTATAACTAAATTGCTATGCAGGATCCTGTGGCAGATGTGGCGAAAATATTCGAGGTGGGTTATTTATCAGAAACTCCTGCAACTACAACAGAGGTCTTGCCGCCAGACGAAAGATAAAATACAGAATACTCGTATGAGTTACAATCACCGTCAGAAAAAGCTCAGCATCTGCGGATTATTGTATAGGAGTTGGGCATGCCAAGAGAACTGTACCATGCCATGAAGAAGCAACCGCGAAACATAAATAAAAATCTATCGGGCTATAGACCGGCTCTACGACCTACAGAAAGAGGAGTTAGCAGAGGAAAAAAGGCGTAACCTGCAAATGGAGAGGTTGAGTCCTACGGAAGTAGAGGATAATGTACTACTGGAACTAAAAGACTTCTGGAACAGGGGGAATTAAAATGGAAAATATTCTAAGTACTAAGCAATAATAAAAAAGAACTGTTAATTAAATTTTTTATTTTTATTTTTTTACAAATAATGAAGTTCAAAAATATAGGTATCTGAATTAAAAAAAATTAGTTGAGTATACAGCTCTTGGTCGAATTTTCACACGGTAAGTTTTTTTTCTTATTATGCAAAGTTTACCGTTGATTTTCAGCAATTTTTTTGTTGACACTGTCAGTCATTTTCTTCCATACGAAGTAGTAGGTATGTCTGAACATTTTCTTATATGGAGAGAATGATCTACAATAATAATAATAGATTGGCGCTTCTCCTCCGATTTGTGGCGTGCGCCTTGATGTTGTCACACAAAGGGGTAGGTCGCAGTTTTACGCCGACTCCGAAAATATAATCGGAGGCTTGCCATTGCCTGCCGAGGGGGGACCACTGTAAAGAAAAAAACATTTTTCTATATCTTTTTGCGATCTTACTTTGAGCAGGGCTTGAACCCAGGCCCGGCGAAATGGTAGCGCGTACTGCTAACCACTACACCACAGCGGCCGACAAAATGGTCAACACCTTCAACGAAAAAAAAAAATGCCAAAAATCAACGGTAAGCCCCAGCCAGGGCTGCCAACTATCTGTAGCTGTGAGGCGCCATTTTGAGGATAAAAAAGTGCCAAAATGTGCCAAATAGAATAATAAAAGTGCCAAAAAAGGTTCCATCCTTTTTAATCTTTCCCATTTAGCAATAAAATAAGAACCACATTTCTAAAACAAAAGTGCAATGCCAAAATAAGATAAACCAGTTGAATAATCTTTAGAAATTAAAAAAATTTTAGTTGAGAAAGAGAAGTACGCGTAAAGGATTTCACAAAAATCTATTGAATTATTACTATTTTTGAAAAGTGTCATTTTGTCACTTTGTGCAAAATTGAAAAATTAAGTGCCATTTGATGTTAAATAGTGCCAAAAGTGGCACGGTTTGAGCCAAGTTGGCAACCCTGGCCCCAGCTACTTTAAATTTGCACTTTATTATACCAAAATTGAATAAGTTACCAAATTCAGTTAAAACAAAAAAATGCAGGGTTGTCTCCTGTGTGAAAATTTTCGATTAATTAAATTGATAAAGTAAATTAAATAGTATAATATGGGTATGAATCCAAAGGAGTTTAAGAAGGCTTACATTAGAAAATAATTTTGAGGAGGGTTGCCACCTGTTTGGTTGCATATCTTTAAGCAATGTTTTTAAGAATTTCCTCAACAATGGCAAATAAAATAAATGCTAAGTTAGTTTTTTCTTCATTTGGTTTTGGATTAATGTTTAGACTGCGGATATTTGTGCAGAAAACGAAGCCTAAAAATATGTACCACATAGTAACTAAAAGGTATACGAATTTATATATTTTGCTAATAGTTAAGTGATACATATTTTTAGGCTTAGTTTTCTGCGAAAGAATCCTTGTTTATTTATGAGAAATTATTACATTTTTTTGAATTTATTGAAAGATTTAACAAGGTGAAATAACTTGATTTCAGCATGATTTGCTTATATATTATGTATGAGCCGTAATGGAAATTGGTTTTTGGTTGAGCACCTTGGAATTTGTCTAAAATATTCTACGATTTTGGACAGACTGATGTTTTGTATTGATGCGTTTTGAAAAACAGTATTTTATACATTTGGCAAAAGCAAAATTTATATTGAGCTTTATACCGTCATACCTTGACTAGGCTAATCGCTCCCACAAAAATATTATTAATCCTCTAGTCTTGTTATTTTGTCCTTAACGTGGATGATCCTATTAAACTTAATCGATAAAAAAAAAAAACACAACTAAAACTAATCCAGTTCGTGAATAAAAACATACATGCATATTCATAAATAAATATTATTACATACGACGACAATACTTTAAAATTATGGGTTTATTCCACAGAGTGCTTGACCACTTAAATAATAGATACAAATGAATACATATGTATGTATAAAAGTAGTATGTAACATGAAAACTAATTAAAACACATTTCCAATAAGTTTACTTAAGTATTATACTCGTTGACCTATTGCTCATATGACGAGTACATACTCTATTATTTTAGTACTTACTAATTTGTTTAAAATCAGTAATATTTGCACATTAGATCGTACCAGAAAAAAAGTTTCTGAAGTACTTTTGTAAGGCAATTTAGAAATTTTTTTTTTTTGTCCGAACGTAGGAGTCACATTTTTCATCAAATCTTCGGCATTCGCAGTTGGATCTTAAAGTGATATTTCGAATCTTTTGCCTTGAGAATACGACTTGTTGTTCCACTATATATATACACCTCAAGTACACCATTCTAGTACCTACCCACCAGATCTCGGCTCTTATCATCCTAACGTACCACCCCAATGCCAGTAAACTTAAGCTCGTCAAAAATAAAAAATAAAAATAAGCAATTATTGCAGCAAGACTATTTCGAAATAGTTGCTTAACGTAGCTGTCACCGAAAAATGTAAAAAGCGACTAAGGAGTGTACAGCGAATGTTTATCTTTGCTTGTAAGATGGTACGGTCTAATGTACATACATACATATGTACGTACAAACGTTAAAGACTATGTCGCATGCGTGCATGCTTAATAGCTTTATGTTGTTTATATAAATTTTCCCGGTGCCAATCTAAACACACAGCAAACTGGTTTTACTCAATGACAATTATTAGATACTAGTCAATAGTTCAGTTAGAAATTAAGTGTATTTAAATTTTTAAATGCAAGTGTTATATTCACGTAATAGAAGGCGGTTTTAATATAAAATTGTTACATCATTGAGAGGATTGGGCCGCTTTTCTGAAGACAACTAATATATAAAT